GGGGCACTGCTCCGTACAGATCCTTGGGAAGCCCCATCATGGAACAGTTTGGGTTGGAAGGGACCTTAAGGCCCATTCAGTGCCACCCCCTGCCATGGGCAGGGACACCTTCCACTAGCCCAGGTTGCTCCAAGCTTCATCCTGGACACTTCCAGGGATGGGGCAGCGACAGCTTGGTGATCTTAGAGGTCGTTTCCAACCTTAATGATTCCATGATATATCAAAGGTCCCACCTGTGCACACAGAAGCAGACCAGTTTCTATTTCCCTGACGATTTTTTTAATCTTCCCCAGGGTGTGAAACCGCAATTCTGTTCCCCATGCGTTCCAAAAAGATATTTGGGAGCGTCCACCCAACTGCTGGAATGACCCTTCACTCCTTCACTGCCTGTATCTGGATCAGGGTGACCGAGGCTTTGGACAAAACCATTGTCTTCTCCTATGGAACCAAGTTCAATCCCTATGAAATCCAGCTTTACCTCCGCCGGGACTCCGCAGTGCTCGTGGTCGGGGGTGGCCAGCACAAGGTGGCTGCCCAAAATGCAGTTATTCCTGGGAAGTGGGTCCATCTGTGTGGCACATGGAGCTCCGAGAATGGATCTGCAGCCCTGTGGGTGCAGGGGGAGCTGGCAGCCAGTGCCCTGGACATTGCCAGCGCTCACACCGTTCCCGACGGAGGGATCCTGCAGATCGGGCAGGAGAAGAACGGCTGCTGCGTCGGAGGGGGGTTTGATGAAGCTTTAGCCTTCTCTGGAAAACTAACTGGCTTCAACCTGTGGGACAGAGTGCTCAGTGCCCCAGAGATCACGGCACAGAGCGGGGAGGGCGCGTGTGGCACCAGGGGCAACGTGGTGGGGTGGGGGGTCACGGAGGTTCTGCCCTATGGAGGAGCCCAGTACGTGTCCTAAACCCTGGCACGGCTGTTTCTGCACAGAGAATGTATTTCCCAAAGAGCTGAACACCAGCACTCCAACTAAACAGAGCTGTAGGAGCCCACGTCCCAAATTCCCAAGGAAGATCAGCATTGCAAGTTTACAAAATGAGGCGCTGTGGAGATGGGGTCGGATCTCTGCCTGCTGTTTTGGGAAAACACTGAAAAGATCCCACACATCAAGGCAGGACATTGGAAAAGCTGTCCCTGAGGTCTGGCAGCTCTGTCTGTCCAGCACAGTGTTTTCTGACGGATCAGAGAGAGGGGCACTTTGGACACTCGGGAGTCAGAGGGTGCTCCCGACATCCCTGCTGAGGGAAACCTGACCCTTCTCTGCAGAACAGAGGATGTGGATTCCCCATCCCTGGAAGTGTCCAAGGCCAGGCTGGACGGGGCTTGGAGCAACCTGGGATACTGGAAGGTGTCCCTGCCCATGGCAGGGTGTGGAACTGAATCATCTTTAAAGTCCCTTCCAACCCAAACCATTCCTGATTCCATGATCTTCCAGGCTCCTCCAGCCCTCGGGCTCTACAGCATTAATGTGAATTGTACAGAGGAACCACCTAAGTCAAGAAATGTGTTGCTTATTAATCGTTGTTAGTCATTTGTAGACTATAACAAAACTAGCTCCTTGTTTAAATCATTATTTATGCCATGGATTGATATCAAAGTAATATTCCCCATCATAATCTGATGTTACATTGGGAGAACATGCAGCTGTATTATATTGTAAATGGACTTTGTGATAATTTTATTGAAATTATTTTTGTAAAGTTGTTCTGTAAATAAAGATACTTTACTAAACTAAAACTCTCCATGCTTCTCATGAACCAAAACTCTGAAACCAAGTCCCATGTGGGAATCTTCCCATGTTTTGAACCATATAGTTCTAGAAAAAGCATAGAAATAGTGACCTCTCATAAAAACAGAGGGATCCTCATGTGCATTGAGCTGAGGCTGTGCTAGGACAGTGCTTGGAGGCTGAAGGAAGGATTGGTTTGGTTTGGGATATCCTCAAATAAAAATCCATCAGTCCCCCCCCATAATGCTGCCCTCTGAGGACAGACTCAGTTTTAAGGTACATTTAGACACCCAAAGGCATTTGCTGCTGACAGGAGGTTTGTACAAGGAACTGCTTCTCAGTGCCAGGGATTTGCTCCTCTCCTCTCACAAGCTCATCCCAAACCCAATAAAAACCCAGGGCTGGATACAGAGCACAGGCAGCAGGTGCAGAGCCCAGACTGCAGGGGTGATTTCCACGTAGAAAGTAGAGCCCGAGCAGGGGATGATGAATAGCTACTCACTGGATCCGTAACCATTTACAACGAGAGCATCACGCGCTGCCGAAGCCTCTGAACAAGTTATCATGAGGGATGTCTTGTTCAGAGCAATTCTCATTTCCCCTGGAAGCAGGCCATCCTTCTTCTCTATTCCCACGTTTCTCTGCCTTTCTCATTCTCTACAGATGTCCTGAGAACACACTTGGAAAAATCTCTTGGCGTGTTGCTGCTACACTCCTTCCTGAACACGACTCCAGATCCTTGTTCCAGGACACAAAAATAGTAAGGAAAAGCCATGACAAGGTAAATTCCCCTTTACTGTGCAATTGAAGGGGGTTGTGCTTCATACCCAGTGTTATATTACCTGCTCCAAATTTCTGGCAGCACTGTTTAAGGGAAAAGTAATTGCTCTGATTGCTGGAATTTCTCCTATTACCCTGCAATAAAACTGGATCTAAGTTATAAATGCTTAGTAGTAAACTGGACAGAAATCCCTTCCTAAATAATATCTGTGAATAACCTTAACAACAGAACAAGGAAATATTACCTGTGTTCATCTGCTGGCAGCCAGAAAACAGATCCTCAGAGTTATAAAAACACTTCAGGTCCCAATATTGTGCAAGGGCAAAATCACTCTCAAATCCCCTTCCCATTCAGTTACCTCCATTAAATGAAAACAAATGTCCATGAAATGCAGCAGAAAAAGGAAACTCCTCAGGAAGATCACCAGAAATCCTTCCTGGCTGCTTTTCCTGCTGTATCTCATACCTGAAAAGCTCTGTCTGGGAAGGATCCTTCTCCTGTCTCTGCTCTGGTTTGGCAGAGGACCAAGTGCAAAGCCAGTCCTTCCATTCCCACTGACTCAGCTGGAAAACTTTCCTCTTTCCAACTGCTTTGCTCTCCCTTTATCACCTCTGTGGACCAGCAAAGCTTTCCCACAGCCCAGCACCACAACTCACACTTCTCCCCTTCCTTCTTCACTCAACTATGTTCTTTCTTGGCCAGCAGTTTGGTTGTTTGGAAAACACCAAGTTTAACAAACACCAAATAGTATTTTGGGGGGATTTTGGGCTCCAAACATGGAAGAGCCACCATGGCCCTGCCCTTGCACTGTGGATGGAGAAGTGGAGGAGCAGGGTAAGCCCTGTGGGGCTGGGGTGGGTGCTGAGCCCAGCCCTGCCCTCTCGCAAGGCTCTGCTGGATGCAGCATCCCCATGGTGCCTTTGGAAGGGGGAGCAGCCACGGGACTCTCAGATCACAGGGTGGTGTTGCTGCTGTCCCCTGGGAGCAGGAATAGCTCCGTGTGGTCCCTGGTGCCCGTGGGAGGTGCAGGCACAGCGGGCACGGGTCTGCGGCATCGCCGGCACAGCCGGCGCGTGTTTGGGAGCTGAGTTCACTGGAACAGAGCAGTGAAACACTCCTTCCAAAGTGCTCTTTTTTAGCTGAGGAGATAAGAACCTGATTATGCAGCCAAAGAGTTGCCCCAAGTAATCACAAAATCCAGTTGGCTCCGGCAGTCGCCGGCAAGGGGCCAGAGCTGCTCTGCCCTGGTGCCACGAGGCTCGGCCGTGCTGGGCAGCCCCAGAACAAGGCCCTTTGTCTCCAGAAACTGCTCTGGAAATCCATCCTCAGCAGCTTCCCTCTCCCCTCAGCAAGCAGTCTGCAAGGGCAGTTCTCAGCCTGCTGCAAACGCAGCTTTTCATGCCTGAAACACGAATTATGCACAGCGCGATCGAGCCCCTTCGCAAAACAAATCGTTTCGCTGTTCGGTGCCCTCTTCCCGGCTGCAATTCCCAAACCTGATATCCACAGCAACATCTGCTGGTGGAACAACGTAAGTACACAACTCAGCCGTGCTGAAACCTTTTCCCAAACCTGTGACTAAATTCCCTTTATTTCCTTTATTACTACCACTGAGTGACAGTGCACAATGTCAGCACATAAATACTAATGCCAAGTCTTAAAAGAATATAAGAAATAATAACTTGATAAAGAATGCACACATTTAATTTGAGTGCTTAACATCTCCATAATAATCTTCTTTTAATAGCACTAATTAGCAGTAACTGTCTAATTATTACCCATCCTTGAAGCAAAACAGTGAATTTACTACTGCAGTAGCACTGTACTACAACAAATACTGGGAACTTTATTACTTCAATTAAATTGGATTTCCTTTTATAGAAGAATGAATATTTTTGGCTTTTTCAATCATAAAAATAAAATGTAAGGAGATTAGCAACAATATTCTATATAAAGCTAACAATGTAGGCAAAATTAAAGAACTACCACAAAGCTTTTCTATCTTACATCTGACTATTTTGCCACAGAATGGGATTAATTTCATCCCCATTTCTATTTTGGAGGCTTGCCAGGGACACTAATAGAAAGGATAAGAGCTCCAGAACTAGTGCCTCGTATCATGGCTGATAATTTGAAGTCCATTAGTCAGGAATATTAACAAGTACAGCTGGATTTCCTGCCCCAGGGGTCACCCAATCCATAACAAAACCTCCACAGTCAACAGGGTTCAGCAAATTCCCATATTCCTTGATAATCTGTTATTAGTTTGTGTCTAACCTGTTTTATCACATTTGTAGGTATTTCCATATGTCTGCTTTATACAAACGTGCCTCATATTTTTACGTATAATGTGTTTGCTAATGGTTGGACTTGATGATCTTGGAGGTCTTTCCCGACCAGAAGGATTCCAGATTTTAGGAATTCGAGATTTTTCAGGATCCCATGCACACCTGACACATCCTGACCCCCAAATGTCCACGTTCCTACCTTGGAGGACGCTCCTGACGATGGTGTCTGTGTGCTCAGCCAGCAGATCCACTTTGGCAATCGCAGCCAAGGAGAGATAACTGGACATGTTCCTGCACAGCTCCTTGTTCCCCCTCTGGAGAAACTTCACTGCCACTGGAACAGCCAAGGCCATGACTGGGGGGCGGTTGTAATTCTGTGGAACAAGGAAAAAGCAGTGAAAAAGAAGCAGCTGAAAAAAAAAGAAACATTAATATAAAGTCTCGTGCTGAGCAGAGGAGGAAGAAGAAAATTAAAACAAGGGGAAAAGAGCAAAAAAAACCCCAAAACAAAACATGTCAAGGAAGGTTGTGTTCTGGTAGCACCATTGAAGGAAGATGTAAGAAAGGGCAAATGAAGAAATTTAAAATTATTGCACTGGGAAATGTTCATAATGCACCTTTTTTTGTCTTCTGCTAGAAGAGGAGCAAACCTGAGATGAAGTGCACTAATTAAATGCTAACTGCTGTACACTTCTAATGAGACATTTGGTGACTGGTGTTCTCTGAGAAGACACCAGGAGCTGTATCCATCCTCCACACAGAGCAAGGAATTCTCATCCCAAAGCATAGGAAACACCTTGGAGCAGTCACTGCCAGTAAGTGCACTGGGACACCTGCTCACAGTGCAGTAGCTTTGGGTTTGATCATTAATTATCCTGTCATAGGTAAGATTTCCATTTTTTTTAAGCTCATTGAGTTCCAGGATAGTTTGGGTTGGAGGGACCTTAAAGCCCATCCTGTCCCACCTCCTTCCATGGGCAGGGACACCTTCCACTAGCCCAGGTTGCTCCAAGCCCCGTCCAATCTGGCCTTGGACACTTCCAGGGATGGGGCAGCCACAGCTTCTCTGGGCAACCCCAATTTCTCTGAACACCAGGGACAACTGACATTTTTCAGGAGTACAAACTTCCCTTTCCAAAGGGGCACCAAGCCTCAGGAATCTCAGGGTACCTGCACACACACTTGGCTTTTGACATTCAGGTCAGAAAAGGTTTTCTGCTACTATTTATACACATGAAACCCTGTGTACAAACTATACATATTTGCTGTATATTCCCCCTTGAGATCCCCCCCAACTGCCCTTGGAACCAGCAGGATGTTTGTGTGTAACCAAGGACCTGCAGCCTCTCTGGAGCCTCCTTAAGCAGTGCCCTCCTCTCTTCTCCACTCACTTTTGAACAGCCCTTTGAAACTGGAGCACGTCCCTGGTTTTGAAAATAATCCTGCAATATGATTATATTTAATTAGCATCTGAAATCCCAGGCAACCACTGGAACCCAGATGTTGCAGAAGGCAACAGAACAGTGCAAAGCAAGGCAGCCCAGACTTTCTGGACTTTCCTTCTGGACCAGCACTTAAAAGACTAAATTTAGACTGAGGAAAACCAAATCTGTTATTCCTTATTCCATAGAGTTTAAGTGGCTCTGAGGATTTTTCCTTGCAGCAGAGGCCTGCCAAGAATTGGACAGTCCCTTTCAGAGACCCCTGAGGGAGAAGGGGCTGCAGAAACTTCTTCATGTCAAGATAGATCATTTTGGCAACTTCCATGGGACCAAAAACTGTGTCTTTAATGAGAAAAGCCCTTAAAATAAATAGAGCTTCGCGCAGCAGCATGTTTAAATCAACATAATGCCTCGTTATGTTTGGCTGAGAGGCACCACTGAGCAGGAGCCAAACGCTGCCTCCAAGTTCTACTCTGCTACTCCCCACAAAAGAATGGGAAGATAAGGTTTGGCCCTTGTACTGGGATTTAAAAGATCTAAGAGAATTCCAAAGAACAATTCTTTTTTCCCCCTCTACAATAAAGATAAAATACTTAGTTAAGAAAAGGCTGGAATTCAGATGGAAGCAGAAAGGTTTCATTTGTTCCACGATGAGTATCAGGGCATGAAGGCACACTCAGAAAATGGGAAGGTGATAATAAAGACCACATTTCAATAATATGATCTAGTGATGTTTGCAAACCTCGAGGACCTCCCTGCTGTTCATATCAACAGAGACATGCTGGGAGAGCCAGCCCAGCTGGCAGATATTCATTATCTTCATTGCAGCCTCAACCATCGCTCACATACTGTAGAAAAAAACCCCACCAACCTCATTTTATGCCTTCTTTCTTTTTTTTTGGGGGGGGGGGGCAAAGGAACTTGCTATTAACAGCTTTGTTTCAGGGAGCAGCAAATGTACTTTTATAATTAAGTTGTGGCTGCCCCATCCCTGGAAGTGTCCAAGGGCAGATTGGACGGGGCTTGGAACAACCTGGGCTAGTGGAAGGTGTCCCTGCCCATGGCAGGGGGTGGGACTGAGAGAACTTAAAGATCCCTTCCTACCCAATGCTGTCCATAATGCCATGAACCACCTCATTTCATTTCAATTACCTCACAAAAAGACCAATCTGCAACACAGTGCAGTCCCCAAAACTCTGGAGATGAGCTGGCTTGGTTCAGCCACAGAGTGAAAGTTTAGAGCAGCCACTTAACACTTCAATATTCTTCTGAAATCTGATTTCTGAAGTGCCACAAAGATAAACTAGGATTTCACAACATACAGTCTCTCATCTGGAACGTTTAAGCTGTGCTGCTGCTGGTTACTGTCTCACCTCCAGGGGCAGGAGGCAGAAAGGGAGACAACCAATTCCTCCAGAAGGGCACTGCCCACCACAAAGCATGGTCCCCACCAAATCCAACCCCTCCAGAAGGGCACTGCCCACCACAAAGCGCGGTCCCCACCAAATCCAGCCATTCCCAGAGGAAAGTAGAAGGATCACAACCCCCTGATGCACCACTGCCCCTCAGAGGATGTGTTACCATGCTCTGTATTTTAACATTTGGAGTCAAGCCCTTGATTTTAAACACAATCCCTCCCGTGCACCCAAAAAAGCACGAGCACATTCTAAAAGCAAAAACTGGACGAGCACCGAGGGCGCTTCCAGCTCGGTGGAAGTAACGCAGGGAACTTTCAGTGTTACCTGCAGGATGCAGCTCATGATGTCAGAGGCAATTTTGGCGTGTGGTGCATCCTCCTCCCTGCCCGAGGGTCTCAGGTTGTGCTCCAGGCAGGACTCCCAGAGGGCCACGAGGGCCCGGCCGTGCCGCTCGATGGAGGCGGTTTCGCGCAGGGCCGTGGTGATGCGGGTGATGCAGATCTCCACCACGGCCTGGTCGTTGTCATTGCTCTGGTAGTCCTGGGGCAAATTCAAAAGACATCCCCCAGTCAGCTGGGTTTCAAGCACCTCACAAAATTCACCCGAAGACATGAATTTTTTGTAACAGGATCCCTTTTCCCCACTTCCGCCTTTACAACGGACGTTCAGTGGGATTAAAAACACAGAAATTAGTTCATCCCACGGGCAGCTCACTGGTTTAGGTCTTAATTCTCATTGCTGTGAAGGTATGGATTATTTAACCTCATGTTAATCTTTAATATGCTTTAAATAACTGATTAATAAAAATTCTTATAAAGATGAACTTGAAATAGCTTTAAAGGAAATCCAGCTGTGGGGAACTGGATTTTGTTACCACATTTTTAAGTCTTACACTTTGCTCTTCAGGTGGTTGGTTTTTTTTTTTATAGAAACTTAAATTGTGTGTGTCCCTGTTTTGAATTTTTTACTTATACATTTAATCTCGTGACAAAGTATCCTGGTCAGTGTTTCACTTACTGCAGCTGAACTAATGATCCTGATTTGCTCCAGAGCTTCGGAGAGGCTCCCTTCGATCTCAGCATCCTCCAAGGAGAAGAGATCCCCCGCCCGGGAAAGGTCCTTCTGTGCCAGAACCAGCCCAAAGAGCTGATGCATGGCTGTGCTCAGCCACCCTCTGAGGGCACCATGGGCATGAACCACTCAGATGGGGACAGGATGGAGACAGTCCTGGCGAGCAGGGATCAATTTAATACGAGGAATAAATCTCGGGTGTATTTCAAGACTTCCTTGGCCCCAATCTAAAAGGAAAAGGGAAAAAAAAAGAGAAAAATTAGCAAATGCATTGACTGTCACATTCCAACTTAGCAAAGGCTTTTAAATGGTGTGTGAAAGCCTCAGACAGGATCTCCTGAACCAGGGACGTCCTCAAGCACATGCACACAAAGTGCATCTTGGAGGACCTTTTAGAATCATAAAATCCCAGAATTCTGGAAGAGACCTAAAAGCCCATCTTGTTCCACCCCCTACCATGGGCAGGGACACCTCCCACTAGCCCAAGTTGCTCCAACCTGGTCTTGGACAATTCCAGGGATGGGGCAGCCACAGCTGCTCTGGGCAACCTGTGCCAGGGCCTCCCCACCCTTCGACTAGAGATTTTTTGCTCTTAAACAACAAATAGCTTGAAACAATACACAGCTTAATAAATAAACTTAAGTTTTTTTCATCTGCATAAATATAACCCGAGCAGGCTGGTGACTGGACCAGCTGACAAGGGTTACAAAACACCTTTCCATGGTCAGCAGCAGAGCAGAGCTCCAGGAGGTGGGTGAAGCCTCTTCCTTTGCTTTTTGGGTTGTTTGTTGTGCCTTGACTCCAGAAAGCCATTATTAGCAAGATGGAGAAGATAACGACTCTCGTTTAGAAAAAAAAACTGGTCCCTTTTGTTGCCAAAACGATTCCTATGGTCATGCAAACGCGAAAGCAGAAAGGAGCTCCTGAGACTGCAAAGCCCGAGGCACAAACAGGCTGGATGGCACAAACCACCCCCCACCCGAGTGCCGGGGATGGTGTGAGCTCAGATCGGGGGTGATGCGAGCTCAGATCGAGCCCATCCTTCTCGCTCTCAGCAAGTCTCAAGTTCAAAAATAAAAGCTGGAAAAGCCACGGGCACAAACTGATGGTTTTACCTGCTCAGGGTTCCCCCAGACCATCCTCGATGATGGGGAAAAGGTGCTCTGGGGACAAAGCCTGACCCTTGGCTTTGCCCTCCTGCCACCCCGGGCAGCATCCGAGGGCACGGCGGGCAGAAAGCTCCGGGCTGGGGTGGCAGGCACTGAACCCGAGGCTGTTCATTGCAGTGCCAGGAGGGAGGCACGTCAGGAATGCAGAATAAAGCAGCCTAAAAGTTACCCATGGCTCTGTCAGGTGACTGCAGGAACCCAAATGCAGAGAGGCCTTATCTCTGAATGAGCTGCTCTGTTTCCAGGGCTAAACACAAAAGCCCGCTCCACTTGAGGGCAGTTGTTTTTAATGGAGAAAACAGAACTCTCTGTGTTGGTGAAAGCTATACTTCCCTGGGAAGGAGGAAAAAAAAACCCCTCGGTAAGCTCACGCTGTTTGAAAGAAAAAGAACAAGTGAACAGACCTGCTACAGAGGAGAATTTCTGGCCAGAGGAATCAATGCTGTCGTTCTGTAACCTTTACATGAGCACAAAAGAGAGGCTGAAGTTTGCTTTGGCTTTTAACATCACTCTCAGAAGCAGCACAACAAAACGTGCCCACGAAATGCAGAGAAATGCTCCAGGGAGGAAGATCCACTGAACCCTCCCTTTGATCAGCTGCTCTGAAACTCAGCAGCCCCTTCCTCAGGATTTGGGCTCCACGATCCTTGTGGGTCCCCTCCAGCTCGGGGTGTTCTGTGATCCTTGGCCTTTGGCAGACTATACTCTGCTCAGTGTGTTTCTGCACGGGAAAGGTCCTGATCTCCACCTGAACAGACATTTTGATGTGGGTTTTATAGACAGCACTAAGGACGGTGCAGAAAATCATTGACTTACCACGAGCTCTTTGAAATGGAATTATAGCAAGTCTTCCTAATGCCTACACTGTGTAACAGTGCTGAAAACACTTCCCTTGCAAAGGCATTAAATTTTTCCTTCAGCATCTCCTTGCTCTCTGCAAGGTTGTGCTGTTTGCTGCTAATGGGCAGCTGGCACTGGGGAGAAGGGAAAACAATCATGTGTCTTATAAAGTGTCATTTTTAATTACCTTTTTTTTTTTTTTAAAGGGTCAGTTTGGATGATTAAATTGCTTCAGGGTTAGGGTTAGGGATGTCCCATCACTTTGAGGCCACCTCACCTCGACTCCACATCACCCACACCTTCCCACGGCCAAAACATGGGGAAGAAAGCAGCAACTCCAGGCAGGAAAAAAGCCTCAGTGTATAACACAGGCCATTTCCACTGGTTCCTGGTGCAGTCCCACATCTAATTCAAAGGTTTGATCAGATTTTCAACACCTCCTTTCCCTTTTCATGACAAGCTGAAAGGGCCACACGTTCCCTGGGCCCTTGAAGCTGTTCCCCTCCAAGGTGAGTGTCTCCACTTGCTGCAGGCACAGCATTCTTACCAAAGCTCCTTATCACAAGCAATCACAATGAAAGGCAGACTGACAGGTTTCAGAGCTTGAAGGGACTGAATTGGTCTGTTTGCAAAATAATTCCCCCAATAATAGAAGATTAACAATAAAAATTCCATGTAAAAGGGCAGTTGGACCTAAGGGCATCCAAAAGCCAATTGAACTTTGAGCTAAAAGGCTGAGTCTCCCAGTTTACCAGGAACTCAGGTCCTGCAGAATGACATTAGAAGGACAGGAAAAAATATCTTTTGAACCAAAGAGGAAGTGAGAGGATAAAAATTTTTATATTTTCAGTGAAGGAAATTCTACAAAAAAAAAAAATTGTTTTCCTTAGCTTCCAAAGAAATGTAAATATGGTTGCCTAATTTTATTTATGAACAAAATCCAACCTTCGGAGAACCGTGCAATAATATTATTAATCTAATTCCATGCTAAGCAACATAAATCAAGGAAAGCTTCACTATATTTAAGGAATTTTAGGAAGCCCAAGCCAGTAGAGTTCACCTTTAGTGAACCTCACAGGATCTCCTGGTTTGCTCACTTGCTGGAGGTGCAGTGAGCTCAGGGATACCCCAAACCCAGGGCACAGCCAGGGCTCCTGAGTGAATCCAACCAACCCAGCACTTCCCAAACCCCCCTGTTCTCTGTGACACTCAGTTTGCCACGGACACCACATGTGGTTCTCCTCCAGTGCTGCAGCACAATTCCCATATGGAGATTCCCGTTCCGTGCTCGGGGGCCAAGCCAGCACAGGTGCCAAAGCTCTTTGGTGAACACAAGGTAAGATTAAAGAAACGTTAAAGAAAGAAAATCAAAAGGTGTAAAACGAGCACCTGGCTCAAAAAAAGGAACTTGAATTACACGGGAGAGGGAAGTGATCCGAGAATTCCCCTTAAATGGAGAGTTTGGTATTGAAGGGTTGGCAGGCCAAAGGTCTTGCTTTACCATGGGGATCTTGGGCAAACCAGAGCCCAGGGCTTTGAGCATCTGTAAAAAGGAAAAGGAAACAATAAAATGCATTTCCTTACCTGGCAGACATGTGTCCATGCTGAGCACACGGGGTTATGGGAAAGGCTTGGGATGTCTCAGAGGAAAGATGCTACAGGAAAGTAGAAGTAAAATAATATCAGAGACTCTTTGCCTTTCCAGCACTGTGTGTGCAGACTGGAAATACACCTCAGGATACACAGGAACACAACTGAGGGTTCTACCAAACAGGGTTTAATAGTTAGGACACAGTCCCATAAAGACCAGGACAGCAGCTCTGCCAAACCCTGGAGGGTTGGGGATGTTCTTCACACGTGGGGTGAACAGAGAAAGGTTTGGACTTGGTTTGGACTTCCATCCTCTCAGAGGGTGGGGAGAAATGTTTGCAACAACTGCATATTTCATTTTATTTTCCTTTTCCATGAATAGGAGGAAGATTAGAATCCTCTCCAAGGAAAACTTGGAATTTGAGACAGAATTCCCTTCTCTTGAAATTCTTCCTCTCCACCTCACAGGAAAAATCTGTTCTGTGGAATTTCTGTCTCAAACAGTTACAGAAGTTTTAATATCACCAAGACTGTTGGACACTTCCTTCCCCCCACCATGCCCACCCAGGGGAACAAAAAAGGCCTGGACATATTTCCAAAAACATTCACATACGCAATTTACGGACAAAATATTACAGATATTTCAGAGAACCTTTCCCCTCCATGTTATAAAAATAAATCTAATTATTAGTGTTTTTGAAAAGCATTTACTCACTAAAACAGAGCACTCTTCCAAAATTTGGAAATAAAGTCCTTACATTTTTCAGTGAAAGAAAAGGATTAAAGATTATATTGAAAGAGCATCATTTCCACACAGGGTGAACAGACTACAGCAGTTCCCATGGGATCAGCTGCACACATTCCAGCTCTTCCCACAAGACATCGTTTCCTACAAGCCTCTTGTTTTCTTTTTCTGTCATGACAGGTTTCCACACTTCATGTCCTGAAATCCCGTGGATGCTGAGCTGGACCAGATGATGACACAATAACTTATGAAGTCTACTAATTAGGCTGGGGGTAAAACTGGGGTTTATTAATGAAACACCTTGCTCAGTCCTGGAGCCGTGGGCTGACCGGCTCTCAACATCCAGCTCTTCCACACAAGGAAGCAGAATCCTTGTGGAGGAACTGCAGAATAATCAGAGGAATTACACAGCCTTTTAGGCTCATCCCTCCCAGCAGAGTTCCAGGGCTGCACCACTCTCACAGCCTGGAATAAGTTCAGTGTCCTCCCAGGCGGGTAAATAACTCCCCCTGTGATAAACTGCCTTGCTCTGCAGGTTCTGTGGGGCAAGGGATGCTTGAAGTGAAGCAGATTTCACACCTCTGAGGCAATTTTGGCTGCATAATCCAGGCAGAACCCACTGATGCAGAGGGGGAAGAATGGACTTAGGAACTTCCCAGCAAACAGATAACTTGATCAATTCTTTATATTATAAATACCTATAAATACAATTTTTTTATAAATACGTGCTGCCAAGACAGCTTTCTGCAGTTTTCAGCACATAAGGAATCCCAAAGGTTTCTGTTTGCCTGCTGTTTCAGCACACACCAATATAACACTTCATAAGACTTAGCATTTTTTAACATCAGGAAGACAGATCTGTCTTGTAAGAGTCCCATGCCTAAATACCTTAATGATATTAAAATATTACACTAAACTAAACAACACGCTGCCAAGATGGAATAAACTGCTTCATAACAAACACCAATTCACTCACTGTCACGGTGGTGCTTTCAAAAGCTGCTCAGTTTTAAGTGTTGCTTAACAGGCTTTTATATCTGTGACATATTTTCAAGACTGTAGTGATGTTACAGAAAAAGAACTCCTTATAACATTTTACAAAGGGAATAATATGTATTTCTGTCTAAAGGGTGAAGGAGGCAGAGCATGAGGGACCACAGGATAGGGTCAGAATACAGGAACCCTGTTATGAAAAATGCCACTGGCAGTGAAAATTGGTTTTTTTGCAATAAATAAATAAATGCACAACCACTGAACCTCAAAGTCTCCTGAAACAGCAGCCACTGAATAATCATTGAACATCCTGAAGTTCCTCCCAGGTACCTGGGAATCCACTCCAGTGTCTCTTCAGCTCACGATTTAATGGGAGCAGGTGTATTCCCAGCATGTCAAAGTCCCCCTAAAGTAAGACATTAATTCTGCAGCACAGGGGACAAAGTGCCCCCGAGTGAGGGGAGGGAAAGGAAACCCATGGGAGCCCCAGGATGATCCAGGAGCACTGCAGGTTCATGTCCAGCTGTCACACACACACACAGAGGCACTGCTTTTCTTTCTGTGGCACTTCCAACATCACTAATACATTTCTACATCCAATAACCACTGAGAACTCAGAGAAAAACCAGCAACAGTCCCACTGTTAATGACTACATTTCCTCAAAAACCTCTTCCATTATTTAATACTTGGATCTGCTGCTCAGTTTCTTCCCATGCACTAATTTATTCATCATTGCAAACGTTACATGAACACACATTAAGTTATTCATACCTCTCAGAAGGGAAACCTCTGAAAACCATTAATAATTGAAGGCAAATTGTCGCTCTTTGGAGAAATTCGGGTGGGATCCATTGCAGTTGTCAGTGCCCCTTCCATCCCCCTGCCTCTGGAATGTGAGGCTGCTGGCACAGCCCTGTCAACCCAACCGTACAGTCTGCTCAGTTACCCTGGAGTTGTCATGTGGAATCAAGCAAACAAATATCTTCTCTCCGTTTTCCCCAACTCCTGCACTCAAAAACAGCTCAGGACTAATTCCTCACCCAGCTTAACTCCAGCAGCAGCTCGAGTGAAAACGCTCCGGGCTCAATATGGAATTTGAATTAGTTAAAAGGATTTATCAACAGCCAGTGGTTACATTCAGTTAATTAATAACCTGCTTAAGAGTAACAAGGAAATTGCAGAAGTTAATATTACTTATGGGGCCTCTTCTCAGAGGCTGGTGGGAAGGCTGGACCCCGTCAGCATCTTTGGAGGAACAGGAGCCAAAAGAAAAGTCGGGAAGGAGCAGGACACTGGAGGAGACACATCCTTTCACCTGACACCCGTTGCAACTCCCCAGCTCCCAGACCTTCAGCCAGCCCTTCCCAGGTGGAACCAGTGCCCAGGACCTGAACACCTCCAAAGCTTGGCAGCTGCAGTGCAGGGATGATTTCTAAGTCATTCCATGGCATTCTGCACACACCTGACTGTGCTTCCCTTCCACATTAACCATGGCTGGATGCTTCTCCCCTTAACTTCCCTCTGCTAAAGAAATCCCAGATTCCCAACAAGTCAGCCCTAACTCAGACCTCCCCTACATCCCAACAGATCCTGTCCTGGCCGTGCCCTCCTGTCCTGGGAGGGCACAGGAGCAAAGCCACCCTGGGAGTGCCCCAGCACTGACATTTTTCTAATAACAGCCAAAGAAATATCAAACAAACCAACTCACAAGGGCCAAGTGGAAGGTCAGGCACTCTCAGCCAACTGCTGGGAGAAAGGAAAGGCTGTTTGCCCAGAGATAATGAGGAGAAATGTTTGTACCATTCTTGTCAGGCCTTTTTTAATATTAAAAGAACTTCTAAACCACACAGTTTTAAAAGATCTGCTCCCCAGAATACACAGTCAGCCACATCAGTCCTCAACTTCGAGGGCAGTTCCTCCAAATAGCTTTTTTGCTCCTGTTCATTGCACCACAGCCTCTGAACCAAATACAGAATTAATGGGGGGTGAACACATTCTTTTAATGATGTTAAGTCATTGCTGTTGTTCTTTAAGTAAAATGCAATTGTGTGTTCTCTACAGCTTCCCTTTACCTTAGTAAGTACAAGGAGGGCACAGCTGGCTTCTCTCCTACCCTTGTGAGACTGTAAAAAAATTGAGATAATAGCAGAACATCAATATTCTCACTCTAAAAATCGTGTTCCAAACAAGAGATTTTAAAATAATAAATTTCAAAGGGCAGCACGATCTGGGAGAACATAAATGAGAGGCTTGGATTTTACCTCTGCATCCGGTAACCAGTCAAGTCATTGTAGAGCAGGAATTAAGAGGTTCATTCCTTTGCTCACTGCAAGTCTCCTTTTGACTTTATTAGCAACCAAAATCACCCAGAGGTTGTGGATTCCCCATCCCTGGAAGTGTCCAAGGCCAGGTTGGACGGGGCTTGGAGCAACTTGGGATGGTAGGTGGTGTCCCTGCCCAGGGACTTGGCTGAGCTTTAAAGCCTTCATTGAAATAATAAGACAAACCAAGATATTATAATAATAAAAAGACTCATATGCATTTTTCACTAGCTGAAAAAGGAGAATTTGCTTGATGAAATTTGTTTTTCCCCATTCTAGAAAAAGAATAAATTGGTTTTAGCTTTTAACTTTGATTATAATAGCTGCAATGAATTACGCCCTTTGTAAGCAAAGCCCTGAAAATATTTATTTTGTTAGACTCTTAAAAACAAACATCTTGTTAGGAAAGAGACACGCCATTGTTCTCCCTCTGACTAATTGGTGAAGAGAAACAGAATATTCCATATTCATTGCATTTCACCAAAATGAGTCATGTTATCTTCTACCCAGACAAAGCACTTTAACTGTAATAACGACAATGCTGACAGCTACAATACTGCTCTTGCAGAAGTTTGCTTGTAAATAATTAACAACTGTTGTATAATGACAGTGGGGTTTTTGATAGCTCTATTAATTTCACAGTCAGGCTGGAGTCTCTTTAATTTAGGGTATTCATGAAAAACCCACCCTCTCCCAACCCACCGACTTAAAAGGCTAATGGGAAGAACAGGTTTGTGTCCCTGCAGTTTGTCTTGAGGCCAAAAATCTGCTGTGTGCCAAGAGTCAGCCATGGAAAACTAAGGAGAAGGCAGAAATCCCAGATCACACCTCCAAATGGCTCAGGTCTGGCTAATAATTGTCAGGTTCTGAAGCTGAAATCTGTGGTGCAGTAAATAAGTTTAAAATGCTGTAGGAGGTGGTGGCGTGGCCTTGTCAGCACAGGATGGGGCATCACCTATTAATGTCCTTTAAATATGTGGCTTTGTGCCTCTCCAAGTCCTGCCAAGCAAGACACGGATGAGCAGTCCCCCAATCCAGTCGTTCTTAAAAGCAGCAACATCCCTGATTCTGCTGGAATCAGGCTGGACACAAACACCTGGAGGACCAGGGAAGGGTCTCCCTTGCAAGCAAGGTCTTTATGTATCCTGTGCCTTAGAGTTCACTAATTCACAGCTTTCACAGATATTGGGAATTCCACCCAAGGACTGTAGAACCAGCTGCAGTGTCCCCTCTGTCATGACAGGAGATCCCCAGTTTGATCACCCCCCACACCCTTCAGATAACACATCCCAGTGTTTCCCTTCCTGGGAGGAGGAAATATTTCACTCCAGAAAAAAGTACCAGAGCTTCTCAAAAGCTCACTGAAATGAATGGAGAGATTCTTGTTGCCATTGCAAGGATCAATAGTCTTTTATTCTCCCAGCAGGTATTTCCTGATTTTACCTTATGCTGTCCCTGGCAAAGGAGTGGATAACACCACAGACATTTAGAAAGTAGTATTTTGTTTCTATAGGACCAGGTAAGAAGAAGCATTTCTAGGCCATGCATTTGACTGGCAGCAGCCCAGTATTTAGTGTATTTGCATAGTTTCATACACTAAGTGGATTATTCAGGATTGTAACCACAGCCAAATAAAAAATGTTAGGTGTCAAACTAATATTTCTATCAAATTCTATATTAATTACTAAAACTATTTTAAAATCATAGAATCCCAGACTGGTTTAGGTTGGCAGGAACCTTAAAACCCATCCAGTGCCACCCCCTGCCATGGGCAGGGACACCACCCACCATCCCAAGTTGCTCCAAGCCCCGTCCAACCTGGCCTTGGACACTTCCAGTGATGGGGAATCCACAACCTCTCTGAGCAACTATTCCTCTTTTTTCCCCCCATACTTGGCATTGCTTATTCCCCAGTTATTTACAAAGCACAGCAATCCTGTTTGACACTTTCAGAATAACTGTTTAATTCTAAAGGCCAAATCCTGTGCACCAGACAGAGTCAAAGCTCCTGCTGAAATTAAAAGAGATTTTCCCCTAAAAACTCTCGGATTTGACCCAAGTTTCTGAGGAGCCAGGCCCTCTCCCAGCCCTACAGGTGTTGGTTGGGCAGGTTCGTAGGTGGGCATTGCCTGGCAGCCCTACCCTGTACAACACCCAGAGCTCACTGGCAGCTGCAGGGCTCCAGAGGCTCATCTGCATCACCAAACACAAAATCTGCTGCACATCCTGTGGATACACCACATCAGGAACAGAAAAACTTCGGATACTCATTTCTTCACAGCCATTGCTGGTTTGGAGATGGTTCCAAAATACTCATAAGCAACAAAAAAGGCCACTTCAGATGCTCCACAGCCTCCCCTGCTGCGATGGACAAACTCAGACACACCCAACCTCTTTTTTTACCTCTACACACGCTCTCCCATTCCCATTTTGCATATCAGATAACACTTTCATTAACCACCTGCATCATCTTCCAACTGAACTGCATATTTTATTACCTCAGGCATCCATTTCCATTTGCTTTGCTTTCCACAGACAGGGCTTTCTTAATTGAGCTGCATAGTTTATGAACTGTGCTAATTGAGCTGCAGAACTCTGCTGCTGCCGGGGTTTCATACCCTCCACCAGGAGGAATATCGAGTGCTGGACTGGTGCCACTGCAGTTACAGGCTCTGCAAGTTGAGGAGCACTCGAGCAGCTCTGCTGCATTTTTCACCTCTAAGATTCCTGGATGTTTTTCCAGCTTTGTAACACCCAAACGGGTCAAAACCTGCCCTTGGCTTGAGCAAGTTTTTGTAAGGACAGCCAGGAGAAATGAATTAGGCTGGTGCTGACAGCCCAAGTAACCCTTGTATTCTGTCCCTGGGAGCAGAAGGCAAAGAACACTCACCCCAGAGGAGCAAAGGCAGCTACTCCCAGGCAGAGGAAAAACTGCCTGACTACAAGGACTGCTCCAACCACACTCCCAGCTCCTGATCAGGAGCCAGAAGCCTTTAAAAGGGTCCTGTAGGCAGGAAGGAGGGGGGGATAAGGAGCCACGAGGCTGTGCTGTTCCCAGCTGCCCCCAGTTAAGAGCTCAGCAATCAGGGCAGAGCCACGTCTGGAGCCAAGGCTGGCCCTGCCCAGCACCCAGCTGCTTCTCACCCTAATTAAGTCTATAGGCTAACAGGGATTATTAATATTAAACAGCCAGGCTCTGAGGCTGCTAATGAAACCAGCTAATCCGTACCAGGGATCCACACTGGGAATGAACACGGGGATTTATGTTGAGCTACGTGTGCTACAAGGTGCTCACGCCTTCCTGGAGCTCAGGCTCTCCTCTTGGCTGTGGGGAGATAACACAGCGAGACACTAAAACCCACTAAAACATCTGTTCAGGTGCTTAATAAGCTTTCCATCATTAATGCTGCACCTCAGATGAGCACAAGGCTTTGGAAGAGGAACATACTTCCACCAGAAACTCATTTCATAGTGGAATCAGAGCTAAGTAGCAGCAGTTATCTGGGAGCTTAAGGAAACCAGCCAGGGAAAAACAGAACACAGGCAGCACCTCATGGGATAAGTTATTGAAATTAATTAATAACAGCACTAATGGGGTATGGAAATGGCTTTCCAGGCAAAGGTTTGTTTGCTGGATTTATGGAAGGGAATCTTTATATAAATAAGAGTGTGAAACTGTAGAAATGTAGGATTGGAAAATCCTCGAGGTTACCTCACCCACGTCCTCTGCTGAGGCAGGAGCTGTCAGTCCA